AAAACATGGATTTGCGTTTAACGGGGCACGCAGGTGTCGTTGTCGTTGTTGCTCTTATTGCGTATTGAAAAGCCACACACAAGATTCTCGTCTCCAAGTTGGACTTTTGTATGCAGCACGTTTTATGGCCTCGGGGACTGGCCAAGAGGGGGCGGGTGGGGCGGTGCCATTAATTTATGGCCATCAAATGCGAGTTAGACGATTGACCATTTCTGCTTCGACGGCTTCGGTGCTCGGTTTGCCGCAAAAGTTTGCTGAACTTGGCAGAAATGTCTTGGCCTTCTGGAGACATTTCGGTGCCGCAGCAGGGCGTCCCCTTCGCCCTCAAATGACTCATGATCGCATACACATGACTGCAATTGACCCAAATAAAGTGCTGGGGGTTTATTTGTGATTTCCTAGAGTGTTGAGTGTACACGCACTTTCCTCACTTATTAAATTTAATGGGAGTTGACGGTTTCTGTAAGGGGAGTCTTCAAAGTTTTGGCCTGGGAAATGGTGTGTTTATGATTAAATTTTGGTTCAAAATTTAATATTTATGTATAAAATTAAAACAAGAAGAGAAAATAACTTCGGGAGGCCGAAGTAAGACAACATAAATCTAGCATACATGGCGTATACTTAACGTAAAAGCCCTTAAATTACGTATACGCCATGTGTGTCTTAAGGAAGAATTGTTAAAAAATGTGAAAAGATAAGTAGTTCCAGTTAAAAATTATAAGATCGATACGGAAATGGATCATACCAAAGCTTGAAATATTTGATAATTATAAATATTTGTATATTAAATTTTTTTGACAAATCAAAATTAAAAATTCTCATAACTAAGACAAAAAAGCGTTAATTTTAATTCGGAAAGCTGTCCTATGTTAGTTTTGAGTAGGCTAATTAATTTGTATACTCAATTTAAATTTTTAAAAATTTCAATTTTTTGAAAATTTTAACGATGTAACCCCTTATAAAATTTTGAAATTTCGAAAATTTTTTTAAAATTTATTTTTTTGATCAGACATCACTAGATCGTTTCAGCTTTTCATGCTGATCAAGAATATATTTTTTTATGAGGTCAGAAATGAATCTTTCACATATTTATAAGCTTCTGACTTAAATTATAATATCCTGCAATTCTATAATATAAGATAAGATTAGAATGAAAATGTAATGATAAAATTGATAATACAAAATATATTTCTGAAATATAAATCAGATTTAGCTAGAGGTTGTTAGTAAAACTTAAAGCTATTATAATTTAAAGGAATCGCATTACTTTGTAAGTTTTGAGGAAAGAAATTTATTTATATAATTTATTTATATAAAAGAAAATAGCAATGAACTGCCATTCTTAAAATTATATTGTACCCTTACCTCTGCACAACAAAAGGGAGTGTTTTTTAACGATGTGCAACCTTAAAATTGTTGTAGGAAATTAATATGATTAAGAAAATAGTTAACTTAATTTTAAGAAACAAAATGATTCCCATTTCTCATCACTTTACCTTACCGATCATAGTGTCATCCTTAATAAATTACATAAAAAACCAAACAGCTTGTTATTTAAGCTTGATATTTTAAGAGTCCCCACTTTTCCCATAAACCCATCCATTAAATCCATTATGACTCAGCTTTTCAGTTTGCAATTTTCCCATTGATCATGTGTGTGTGTTGTGTGTGACATCGTCCTGTTAACTTCCGTGGAAATATCGCGGCATATTTCCTGCATTCAATATCCAGAGCCTCCTGACTGCCTGCAAATTGATTGACGTTTTATTAATGCGACTGCGAATGCGGCTCATAAATGCAAAATTGAGCTGCAAACAATGCCGTTGATAAATTAATACAACATTTTTAATTGGAAAATGCGCATAATAAAGTCAATTAAACGGATCACTTCCCCCAGCAAAGATTTTCCCAAGTAAAACGGTGGACAATGTTTTTTTTTTTCTTTATGATTTTCTTTTGTTTTCTCTTTTGGTTTGCTTGGTTTTTGTTTTGTTTTTGGTTTTTCATTTTTGTATAATTCAGATTACATTTTATTGTTAAGAATGAATTGAATTATTTGTTTTCTGTTGTTCTTGTTGTTGTTTGTTTTATTTCCCCGATTTCGGCATCTTGAACGGTTTGTTTTTCCGGCTTTTCTTGGTTGCTTTTCACCATTTGATGCTTGCCTTGTCTCTGGTTTCTGTTTCTTTTTCTGTGTCGTTTTGCTGTTGTTGAATCATAATAATCGTAATAATGCAGTATGACATAATTTATATATATATATGTATATATATATAATCTGTTCCATATAATTGCATGTATATGCTAGAAGATTATATATCTAATTCGATTTACCTAAAAACAATTTACAAATATATAAAAACGAATTCACCTAGTAAACTAAAGCTACATCATGTGTTCATGTTTCGTGTAGTTTTCTCTTTTTTTCTCTGTGTGTGATGATAGTTTATAAAAAATGATTTCCTTTCCTGTTTTTTAAGGGCGCATGTATGTATATATCTCTTTGACTTCTGTTGATCTGTGTGGTTTTTTGTTGCTCTTTTTGCGGATTGTGCAACCAACATTTTGTGTGCTAACTCTCCCCCCTTCCCCGTGGTTGCTGTCCCCCTTTAACAATTTTGTTTACAAACTGAACTGTACATACACAAATAATATATTGGTTTATCTGTTGATTTCTGTTTTATTTATGTTCGTGTTCGGGCATTAAAAAACTGAATAGTACTGTTTGAAATTAAACATGCTCAAAACACGCTCAAAAAATATAAATAATACAAAACGTAGCAAATGTTACTCGTACGCCCAGTAAAGTACAGTGGTAATTGGGATTAAAAAAAAGGAAAAGTTATAAGAATTTTAAATATAAAAATATAAAGTAATAAATAATACAAAGCAAAGCAATATTACTCATACGCCATGGTGTACGTAGAGGAAGAGTCACAAATGTCGATACAAAGTGTGTGTACAGTACAGTAGATATTGGGCTTAACAAAAGCAATAGCTTCTTATTTATTTGGTTTAAAATAATAATTTTAAATATAAAAAATAAACCATAAGAAGTCTAAAGAGTCTTAAGTATTTGTTTATATAAAATAAGTCAAAGAAAGCTAAATTTTATCCCAATTTGTAAGTACTTTTCTCTGAGCTAAGGATCAGTCTATTCTAGCCCATCTCCACTGTACCCGGCCTGCCTCCTTTGACTATTCAGATATTGCTTATTTTTTCTGTGAACCCAAAAAAGAGAGAATTTTTTCTGTGTGTAATGTGTGTGTGTGTGTGTGAAAGCTCCTTTTTGCAATTGATCATTTGTAACTGTCAATGGCAGCTTATTTTTTAGCTGCAACTTTTGCCATTAGCAAGTGTGTGTGTTGCTCTGTAAATGTGTGTGTTGTGAGGTGTGTGTGTGTGTGTGTGTGTGTCTGTGCAACAGTCGGCCTAAAGCTACTTAATCATATATATAATATATATATAATTTGCCTTCATTTCATATATAAGTTTTTGTATGTATAATTAATTTTTTACCTTCGGTTTTCTGTTGTTTTTTAATTTTTCTTCAGATTCAGATTCAGTTTATATCTTCTGTTCATTTTATTTCGATTTCTCTTCCTTTACCCTCTTTACGGGGCATGTTCTGATCTCTGTTTTTGTTTTGTTTTTCTTTTTATATATAAATGTAAATATCGTAACATAATAATTATGCCATTATATATGCTAAATTTAAATTTAAATGTACTCCATTTTACACCTTGTCGAGTTCGCGATTTCCTTTTTTCTTTGTTATTATTTAAAAATGTAACCGTTTCTCTTACTAAAAACTTAGCATAAAAATTTAACAATACATATATCATTTATAGATACAGTTATGTACTTGTTCTTCTTGTTGTTGTCCGCTCAAACCAACTTAACTTTTTAGTTTTTCCTTTTTTATATAGATTAACTTTGTGTCTTCCGTTTATTTAATTCATTTCTTTATTATGGATAATTTTTAACAAAGTTTCTGTTTCGTTTTTTGGGGATATTCTTTTTTTTTGTTTTGTTTTGTTTTGTTTTGAGTTTGAAAGCTGCTCCCTTGCTTTGTATAAATTAAAACTAGTTTTGTATTCTCTATATTGTATATATGGTTTGTATATATATAAAGTACTTTAGGTTTCATTTTCCTTTTTATGTTTTCTTTGTGGTTTTTTGTCATTTGTTTTTTATTTTATTTTATATATATTTAAGGCCAAAAATGTCGAACTTAAGTGTGTCCAAATCGATCGATTACAGTAAGAATAAGGATATATTTTCAATTGAGATATTGTTGTCCTCGTCCCAGTTCTATGTAAGCTAGTGTAAATATTTCTTGCACGGATTCAGGTAAAGGGGGTATATTTTCTTCATTGCTTCGTTCGTCAGGAAACTTGCAAAATAATGTTTGTTGTTGGTTTTTATTTGTTGGAATTTGCAAAATGTAATTTATTTGATTTTTATTTTTATTTGTTGTTTGTTTAGTTTTTATTGTATACATTTTATTTATAATTTTCCTTGCTATAATTAAGGTTAATTAATAATTATGCCTGCCTGCTGAAATGGTTCTTGAATAGTTTTCTTCTTTCGATCAAAAAAATCATTTTCGATTTATTAAGCATTAAATTTAGTAAAAAATGTTTCTTGGGGAGGGATTTTTGAGGGGAGTGGGGGGGGGGAGCAAAGAGGAGGGGCTGGGGTTAGGGATTTATTTAAGACACACCAATTATCACCTACTATCCAATGTGTTTTGTTTGTTGTTTTTCTTCTTCACATTTACTCTAAGTTTTAACTAATTTATGTAATGTTAGCATGTATGTGAATGCGCTTGTATATGTGTGTGTGTGTGTGTGTGTATGCGTGTGTGTGTGTATCGTCTTTGTATAGTCAGTCAGTTATATAATTGTAAATATTTAAATGTATCAACCAAAAAAGTTGCCGTTTTTCTTTTGCATTGTCTTTATTTTTTTGAAGATTTTTTTAAATTGTTTTATATATTTTTGAATTTTCTCATCAATTAATATATTTTCTTTCAAGATTTCTGCTTGGAAAATGAGGGAAATGAGGGTTTTTGAGGGGGATTTGGAGAGGGCTTTAAGGGAGGGCGGCATGCTGTCGGTTTCTGTCCGTCAGTCTGTTTTGGTTTTCTTTATTTATTTGTTGTTCATTTAAGTTGTAATCTTAGAAACAATAAACGTTTTTTCTCGTAATTATGCGTAGGATTTCATATCAAAAATGTTTTGTTTTTTGTGTGTTTTTTTTACGTTTTATTTCATTTCTTTATTTTCTTGTATGTTTTTTTACTAAACCTTGGAACCGGATTGGGATTTGTCTATCATGCTTTAATATATAGAGCCCTAGATATACGTGTGTGTTTATGTACGTAATTAATTATTGTTTATATATATTTTTTTATATATATATAATAAGAAACTAATAAAGAATTGTTTTTAAACAAAAATATTGCATACTTTTATGTGCTTGCTTGAAATTACCATCTTCTCGCTCACGTTTTTAACTCCTATTCATCTTCTCCTTCCTTCTCTCCTCATCCTTATCATCATCATCATTATCGTTTTATGTTTAGCTTTACTTAATCATTCTGTTTTTCGTCATCTTATGTTAAATGTAAAAACGTAACGTAACGTAAATTGTAAATATATATTGTAATTGCATTAATCAATATAATTATAAGAACACATTTTCCGAGATATTCGATTTAGTTGTTGTTGTTTACAATGAAATAATTGATTTTTTGTTAGGCATTAAAAAACCGATATACATATATATATATATATATATAAGACATAGTTATACATACAACTCCTGTATATAAAATACACAATATACTTTAGTTACAACATAAGGCAAAGACAACCTAGGCGGGATCGGAATCGGAACCGGAATTGGGATATCGATATCGATATATACATATATATCGGTTTAAGGGGAATTACAGAGAACTAACCGAAAGGGGGAAAACTGATTTTAGGATATATAACTTTTGTTGTGTATATCTGGGCAATGGGTTCGCTTTTTAAGTACTTAGTCAGGGGCCTTGGGGATATACATGGTTAATCTTCTGCTCGGGATCTGGATATGAGAAGTCAAAGGTTACGTATCGTACATATACATAGTATAACTTCGTAAATCAGAGTTTTGATGCCCTTTGCTCGAAATGCAATCGGTTTCGGTTACGGTTACGGTTTCTGTGTTTTTCATTTTTTTCTCTACGAAGCAAAAAAGTCTTAACTGAGTTAACAATATTTTTGAAATATTTTCCCATCCCTTTGCTATCTCAAATATATATATATGTATATATAAGAGTTCTGTGTGTGTTTTAAGTGAGTCCTTGGCGAGGATCACATCCTTGGTTGTATGCTAGCTTAAATCATGATAAAGTTCTTGTATCCGCGCAGTGGTTACTCAAATAATTATTGTTGCTGCCACCGCTTTCCATCCTTTTTCCCATCCTTAATCCCTCAGTCCTCGAGCAGTTGCTGCTGCTGCTGCTGCTGCTGCTGCTGCTGTGTCTGCTGCGGGGGTGCAGCGGGTGACGCCACCAGGGGCAGGGCACATATTGTGGCAGCCGCATCCTCGGCAACCTCATCCGCGGTCGTCTCCAGGAACGGTTGCTGTTGCTGCTCTTGTTATGTCAGGTCCTGCTGCGAATCTATCGAGAACAGCTCCTTGTACAGCGCCGGAAAGACGACATTCGGATGCTGTTGCTTAAACTTGCTCAGCGCCTCCATGTGCAAGATGGAAATGTCGCTGGAAAATGAAAGGGGGAAACATTTGTATTAATATTTGGATATATTCCAAAGGATTATCTATGTTGACATACCGGAAATTGGGTATATTATTCAGCAGTGTGTCCAGCACGGTGACATCGCCCTTGAGCGGCGCATGATTCGTTTCCAGCTCCTGCCGAATCGCATTCATGCTCAGATTGAAAAGCCTCTGTATTTCCGTATTTCCACGCACTCCATTGCGTTCTAAAGGACAGGATATATATCATATCATATAAGAACTAGAAAAGTATATATTTTACCTGGCCAGAGCAAGACTAAGCTCTGATACAGCGCCAGTTCGGTTTCAGTCAGTTTAAGTTCGGCTATCGACTTGGCCGTTTGGAAAATGCGCGATACCAGGCGCATTTCCTCCGAATCGGATGTATAGAACGCTTCCTGGGGCAGCATTACATCGCCATAGAGTACCGCGTTCTGGGAGAGATCTAGCAGTCTGGACATGCGAACAATCGCCAGCTCAAACGAGCCCGTCTTTAGCAGTAATATCTAAAACAAGGAATTAATTCAATTATCTGCTTAATTAGTACAAATATAATTTTTGATCCCTACCTGATCGTCCTGACTGAGGCGCATGAATCCCGGTATTAGCTTAGCAAATTCAATTATGTTCTGTATCATTTGTGTAAGCTTCTCGGCGCAGTCCAGCCAGAGTTCCTCCTGGCCCAGATTCTTGTAGTAGAGAATGCGTGACACATCCTAAAAGGATGAGAAAATCATCAATTGTTATTTAAGAATATACTTTTAGGCTATATAATATGGATAAGTACTAACCGGCTGCTTTCGGAACATGTCGTGCACAGCTTCCAGTTTGGTATTTGTGTTGGCATGCGCCTCCGCCAGCGTTTTGATCAGCACATCATTGATATCGCCATCCGCTACGGGGTTATAGATTATGGATTATAGATTCCTTTGAGTGCTTAAAGGATCATATCCTTACCGTGACTAATAAATTCGGGATCAATTATTGTACTCCGCGGCTCATAGGTGGTGCTATCCACATAGTCCGCTGAGATGTCGTACTGCATGGTCTGCTGGGGCGTCACGGAGGCCGAGTAGCCGTAGGGACTGCCGTAGCCCACCTCGTTGCTCGAATAGCCGCCGCTGTAGCTGAGTGACAAGAAGGGCATTACGGGTCGGGGAGATCGATTCGGTTCATGGTTGGTCATGGATGTGGCGGGAAGAGAAGAGCAGACAGAGATGGGGGAGATAAAGAACATGGACACCAGAAGGGACAGCCGGTTGGGTGGGCATCAGCAGAGAGAGAGAGAGGGAGAGATGGTATCAGGGGCATTGAGATCACGGATACATCAATATGGAGGATCATTCTCATATCGGTCATACTGCACCTGTTGTAGTTGTTGTGATGCAGCTGATCGCTGCTCGAGGGCGTCTGTGTATCATATACGGAGCTATCGGGTGCCGCATCACTTTGGGCCCTCATCTGGGCCCGATGGAAACGCACCTCATCCTCGACCTTCTCGCGTTGCTTCTTGGACATCCTGCCGAATTTTACAGCTGCGCGGGGGGACGAAATGGGGTGGGTAAAGTGGGTATTATTAAGGCAAGGTCAAATTAAATAAGGGGTATATTAAGAAAATAAGGGGGAAATTAAATTAGACATGAGTTAAACTATCAAAATATTACAAATCAATTGGGAAAACTATCTTTAACTGGATATATAAATAATTTAATTTCCATTTCAGTTTTAAACTTTGCTACAGACCATCACGACTCATTCCCAATTTTAGGCACTTTTGCAGTCTACAGTATTGACAGCGATTGCGATTAACGCGATCCACCACACATTGCTTGTTCCGAGGACACTGGTAATTCACCACGGAGCTCTGCGAGCGCCGGAAGAATCCTTTACAGCCCTCGCAGGTGATAACGCCGTAGTGCACGCCCGATGACTTGTCGCCGCAGACTTTGCATGGAATTATCTCGATTTGAGCTAGAATTAGAAGAGGGGAAAACGTGGTGCTTAATACAGATTCAACGAGACTTAAAATAGTATTTTTAATTTAAAGAAAATATATTGAAACCTATGATAAATACGGTATTAATTATCTGTAATTATATTAAAATACCAAAACCCCTTTAGCATAAACTATAAGGATTACTTCTCCTTTTGTTTAAGATATTCTCTCATATTCTACTTAAAGAGTTTCCTGGCTCTTTTATACAATTTTCCCATCGTGAAACGCCCAACAATTACAATCAATGGATTTTCCGCTGACAGGCCTGCCCTGCCCCTGCCCCTACCCATTCCCCCTTGTGTCTGGATTTCCGACGACTCGCAGACAATGCCACTTCGACCCCAGAGAACTATTGCGCAATATTGCAGTGCATTATATCCATGCGGCACAATGCACCGGCCACGCGGTACAAGCGAGTACCTTAAGCCACTTGTCTGCCGCACAATGTAAGAATGCCCCGCCCGGTGGTGGTGGCAAGCGGCAAGGAAGGGAGAAGGGAGATAGTGCGACAGCTGTTCGGGCATCCCTTGCCGCAATCGCAATCCTTTTCAGTGGCAAATATGATGCAATTTCCTGATCGGCAGCAGTGTGTGGCACCATCGCTAAGAACTGGTTCACACACCGAGAATCGCAGTGTGCTGCAATTTACACTTGTTAACAAGAAAGTGCTTTAAAATTGGGCATTCTAAATTTGCTATTTTACTTATTAAATTTTATTTTCTCTATAGATTAATAATATAAATTTTGTGATCAATTCTTTATAGTTTAGGTTTAAATCAAATTATTTAGTTTAGTTTTACATTTATTAAAAAACAACAAAAACTTTTCCCTATAGTTTAGTTTCAAATAAATAAATTGTTTTAACTTAAATTATTTTCAATAATATTTTCATTTAATTAAATATTTTTGCCCAAATGAGTTTATTCTTTAATTTTATATTTATTTTATTGGGCTTATTATAAATATATTTGAAATAGCTTGTTTTTTTCCTAATAAAAAATGTACCAAAAATTAAATAATATTATTTTTGAAGCAAGCTTTTATACTGTAAAACCGGGGAGATATTATTTTGACATGGCAATTATAAATTCCTAATATTAATAAAAAAGAACAATAATTAGGCTTACTAAGAAATAAATAATATTTAAAATTAACACTTTAAAACATATTTTGTGCAGAAATAAACATATAAGGCACTCAACCTTTTGTAGCCGAGTGTTGGACTCAAAAGTCAGCGGAAGAGAGCGAAAGAGATGGGAGAGCGCTATTGGTCTCGTCTGGCGGCTGTATTGTGTAATCTAGGCGCTTTGCTGTTGCTTTGCGTATTTACCCACGAGGATGAAAGATGCGCGCTGAACCGAACGCACACAAACACAGACGCAAACTCAGACGCCACAGCATCCAGCGGTAGCAGCGACGCCGGCAGCGTGGCCAGCACTCGGCGTCAGCAGCGACGCCGGCTGAGCACAATCAAAACACAACACACAGAGCACCCAGCTTGAAAAATGTGCCAAGCTGCCGCTGCCGCTGCCGCTGCCGACCCGCTGCTGCTGCGCTGCCTGCCGTTCGTTCGGATCGCATTGGAGAAATGTGTGACAGATGACGAGTGAGTGAGTGAGTGAGTGAGTAAGCGAGGCGGCGCTCTGTGTGAGTGAGTGACTGAAATGAAATGTTTTTCAAGTGTCAATGAACTTTCCCAACACGGCAGTATCTCACAGATACAGATACCGCTACACACACACACACACAACAGCATGTCCGTAAACATTCTCGGCGAGCGAAGGAAAAGAAAACAAAAACAAAATCGAAAAGAAAGTTCTCTCGCGCCCCACTCTCTTTACTGGTTTACTCTTAGTCCCCCCAAAGAGCGCTGCCGAGCAAAGCTCTCTCTCCCTCTCTCTCTCTCTCTCGTTGCAGACAGATATTTAATTATGGCAGAATGTGTGTCGTCATCACTGGGCTATGCAATGGGGGAAAAGAAAGGGAGGGGAAGTCTTGGGGACAATCCTTACTTAAACCGCTTTAAACTTTTTATCGTTCTCGAGCATTACGAAATACTCGAAATACTGGCACGCAAAATGCAATAAATGCGCGGCGGCTCTTTCTTTCTTTCCCCCAAAAGAAAAGCTAACATAAATCTTTATCTGAAGTACGGAGGGAATGCGTGTGTGCGTGTTTATGAGTCTTCAAGGCAGATAAGACAACTGCTGCACTAAAGAGAGAGAGAGAGAAAAGAGAGAGTATAAGAGGGGGCGAGCAAACATACCGTTATGTCAAGTCAAAGCCTTAAAGTTTACAGGCAGTTTTGTAGCTCATTTGTATGCAGTTCAGGAAATCGATAAGTCAACCGATAACATTTACATGTGTCGCTTTAAAGGCAATGTACATAACCGAAAAAAAACGGAGTATATATATAGTATATATTTAAACCCTTCCAGGGTAACATAATTTCATAAGGATGCTGAAAACGCAGTAAAGAAGGCATTTCCAAACCTATATATCATATTTATTCTTGATCAGCATTAAGAGCCGAGTCGTTCTTGCAATGTCTGGTCAGAAAATACATTTTCGAAACTTTTTCAAAATTTGTAATTTTTATAAGGGGTTACATCGTTAAAAATATCAAAATTTGATAAAAATTTGGAATATTTAATATTTTAAATGGAGTATGCAGATTTGTTAACCTTATAAAAACTAACATAGAACAGTTTTCCGAAATGAAATTAATGCTTTTTAGGCTTAGTTATGAATTTCTAAAACTTTACCTATAAATATGAAATATGTGAGGCTCATCATGATCGATTTCCGATTCGAGCTTATAATTTAAGTGCTAAACTTATTTTTGAACTGACACTACTTATCTTTTTACATTTTTAAACAGTTCTTCCTTAATACACACATGGCGTATACTTAATGTAAGGGCTTTCACGTTAAGTATACGCCATGTATGTTAGATCTTAAATCAAAGACCTTTTTATACAATTTCAGGGTATTATATTTTAGGCAGAAGCTTATAAATATGTGAAGGAGTAATGTGCGACCCTATAAATCATATATATTCTTGATCAGCATCAACAGCTTAATCGATCTAGCTATATCTTGCCAAAATCTATTTTTTTTTTTTAATTTTCGAAATTTGCACAATTTTATAAGGGGTTACATCGTTAAAATTGTAAAAAATTAGAAAAAAATTGAATCTCTTTAAATGTTAAGTTGAGGATGCAGTTTTATTACCCTGATAAAAACTAGCATAGGAAACCTTTCTGAGTTTTTAAAATTCTGATTGGTCGAACAAATTGTATAAATATATAGATACAAATTAATTGTAATGATTTATTTGTGTTTATGATCTATCCATTACTTTTTATTTAAAAGTACTTAAGAGTTTTCAAACAGTCACTAATAATTAAATACAAATAATACAATAAATACAAATGAAGTCATATAAATAAGAAAAACGTTTAGTAATACAGTAAGTAATACTTATTCATTGCATTAATTCCTATTCGACATATTTTTCAGACTTTTCTTACTTTTCTTTCGTTCTCCTATATTTACTTGAATTGTATTCCTCATTTTAAGAACCCACAAAAATTACAAGACAACAGGTTTACCTTAAGGCAATTAACTTTTAACTTACGCACATATTCGCCGACATTTGGGTTAACAAATAGCAGGCTCAAATATTTACTTAATACGCGGCGCGGAAAAGTGTGTCATGAAATACATTTTATTGTCTTATTTGGCGTATTTTTTTTTTAACACTGTGTACTTTAACGGCGAGAAAACAAAATTTATGACATACTTTTCTCGAAATGAAGGCAAATATTGGGTGAAATTGTTTGCTTATCAGAGGCAAGAAAAAAAAAAGCGGCACGAATTCATTGCTGAATTTTTTAGAGTACTTACAAATAAGTAATGAATGCATCATTCCCGTTTTAATCAATTTTTAATTAACCGGTGCTGTTTTCAAATTGATTTTTTGCCAGATGGGGAACGCCTTTGCTGAATGAAAACGCATCCATTGAGTTATGTTAGGTAATTCCACATCATCGCTGCACTTGTATCACGTACACGCACCGTTGCCGGGCAGAAACAAGTTACAGCAAAAAATACCAACTAAAGTAAAGTATGTAAAAAGAGTGATGGAAATACCTGCATTTTATTATTGACTACGAAAATCCGTAATAAAAATAAAAAATACAAATTAAATGCTGTCGGGAAACCGCTTAATAAAATAAATTCTGAATGGCCAAAAATGGCCGAGGGAAAATGCTGAAATATTTTTGCATATGCAATTTATTTGCACAGTCCCCCCACGGGCTTTCATTCTTTCGTTTTTTTTTTCCACTGGCTTTCCTGCTTTTGCTGGGTGCAGCAATAACCAGAAGTCAAAATTAATATGTTCTTCTTTATGGCGAATGCATGCCCGCAAAAAACGAAAATAAAAATACAAAAAAGAAATGCAGTTTGCAGCGCGGCGGCGGCGGTGTACATGCATGTGTGTGCACTCGCTTAAAAAAAATTAATATGCAACGACATGTGCTAACGAAAAAAAAAAACAAATAAAAAAAACATAAAAAGTATCAAAAACCCGGGAGACTGGGCGAGACGTAAAGCTGTCAGCTGGGCGGCCGCAGGAGAGGGGGCCAGGGGGGAATGCATATGAATTGCAGTTTTTGGCACTGCGGCGAACGGCAAAGTCAAATAAAATTACAATAACAACGCCAGAAACTATAGCAATAATATAAGAGAGAAGAAAAAACAAAAAACCCCACCAAACACACACATAACACCTCACGAACAGTCTGACAAAAGTTAAGAAAATACTGTTAATCGTATTCTAGGTGTTTGTAAAAAAATAAATCAATATTAAATAAATAATAATATTATTAGAAAAAATTAATAATAAATTAATTATTAAATTAATAATTAAATTAATTAATTAGAAATTAAATTGTGGAAAATATCAAAA